AAAGGGCAAATAATTGGTTCATAATATAAAATTAAACGTTTACATTTTCACTTTAATGTCGATCGTTCCAGAAACTCAAGGTTGTGGACAGATTTTTGGCTCTCCAAGCACCTCAAGTACTCCTGGCACCCCAAGCACCTCAAGTACTCCTGGCACCCCAAGCACCTCAAATACACCTAGCATCTCAAGCACCCCGAGTACCCCAGGCATCCCAAGCACTTCAAGTACTCCTGGCACCCCAAGCACTTCAAGTACTCCTGGCACCCCAAGCACCTCAAGTACTCCTGGCACCCCAAGCACATCATGTACTCCTGGCACCCCAAGCACCTCAAGTACTCCTGGCGCACCAAGCACCTCAAATACACCTAGCACCTCAAGCACCCCGAGTACTCCAAGTGCACCAAGCACTGCAAAAGCGTGGCTCTACCGATTCTGGAACGGATTACTTGCGTTTGCGAGGGAAAGTACGCGTTTGCAAGTGAGAACAGAACCTATTCCCTTGATTATAAACGGCGCTCCAGCCACAATCACAGAAGCCCCTTTCGTGGCATTTATCTTTGCGCAAAATAATTTTATAAACTATACTGCACCTCAATGTAGTGCCTCCATCTTGAATGAACGATGGATCCTCACCCTTGCCAGCTGCCTCAGTCCTGTAGCCAAGTGAGTCCAATTATAATAGTTTACTCATCCAAGAATTCTTGCAATATTGCTTACTTGCAAGTACTTCGTAAGAGTTATGGAGTTTATTCGATTCGCATTACATTCACAATTCATAAACCATCTTTTTTTTACTGCAAGCACCTGGTACCATCTAATATATATAGAGAATCGTCACTGACTGACTGACGCTAATTCTCACCAGGTTCTGGAAAAGTTAGAAATCTGAATCTTGGTGCACAAGTACCTATTGGGATGCAGAGGTGCTAGGTGTATTTGAGGTGCTTGGTGCGCCAGGAGTACTTGAGGTGCTTGCAGTAAAAAAAAGATGGTTTATGAATTGTGAATGTAATGCGAATCGAATAAACACTGGATATTCAAGAAATTCCGAGAACTTTCTTTCCAATCAGATACATACCCTGGGGGACATTTCGGGGGGACTGATTTTCCAAGCCTAGGCCCAGCCCCCCCCCCCCCCCCCCTCCTCCCCATCCGACGGAGGTCTAGGCCTACGCCATTCTCGTGCAGACGCTCCCTCCTCTGCCTTTGAAGGAAGTGTATGTAACTGCTAGGTTGTTCACTCAGGAGGATTTCCGACTTCGAGAGGGGGTGGTTTTACATGTCCTGGGGGCAATTTTCAAGGGGGGCTGATTTCGCAGGCCTAGGCCAAACCCATGGACGGACGCTCAGGCCGATACCATTCTCATTCACTCTCTTCTTCAAAGGAAGCGGAATGGGAAACAAGCAGCTGTTGACTTGAAACTACAGATAACTGTTCGAAATTAAAGATACGTGCCCTGAAGGGACTGATTCAGCAGGCCCATATCTAACCTTTGGACAGACACTCAGGCCGACATCGATCTTGACTCAATGGCATTGAGGAACTTTTCGGCCTATCTGAACGCCTTAGCATGCGGCGCGTGGTCTTTGCCCTTTGTCTTTCTAGGTCATTGGCTAGGTAGAAGGACTTGGGTCGATGCCTACCGATATGCTTGTGCACGCAAATTGGTTTCATATTTTTTGTAGCTGAGAAACGGCGAGGAAGATTTTCCCTGGACTTTCCGATTTAGAGTGGTTATGTCCCATGCAGGACGCTTCGACCAATGCCATTTCAAAGCTCATACTTCAACTAAGCAGGAACGTAAATAGCCAGAAACTGCGTTCATGAATGACGTATTTTCTCATGTACAACTGTATGTAGCATTAGATATAGTTATAAAAAGGGATTCCATCAAAGTACTTGTGCCTAAATATAGATATGAAGATAATGAAAGAACTCCCCATACAGTGAACGTAGTCTATAAATAGTTGAAGCGTTAAAACTCTCGAGTGGCTTATATGGTTCACGTGGCTGCTATTACTCACTTCTACTTTCTTGGAGATTCATATGCAATCAATAGTGTGTCGACCAAAGGCAGGAATTGAATTCACGAATGGAACACTAAACGACGCACTGACAAATGCTACTCTGTGATCCTCATGCTACAAGTCACATGGCGTGAACATGTTCCAAGATAACTTTTCTTTAAGGCGTTCAAAACCAAATTTGTAGGAATTGAACGCATGAGCAAATGAGTTTGACCGCATCACTAGGGGTGAGCATCGAAAACGGATGCCTAAAATTGAAATGCATAAGTAATTTCCTTTGGTCGCAGAGCGCCGAAGGCGCATCAATAACTTACTAGTCGATTATACTTAAAATTGTTCTCATTGCCAAGGAAAACAATAGAACCTTTGAGGAACTCTAGTGCTCGCCTGCTTCATTGCGTCGTTCGTGAGCGCTTTCAAAGGATTGAAGATGCAATAAGTGTGACTAAAGAACACGTCATTCTGCAATTTTGAAATTCTCCTTTTAGGAGATTTCCCAAACGGAGAAACTGCGATGAAGTACTTCTTTGCGATGCCCGTGTGAACGCAAGTAGCCACGAACTAAAGAATCTCCCTGTATTTCATCAGGAACGCTTGATATCCCTGGATTCACTAAAGCAGCCGGGAGGGTCTTCAGTGAGCGTTGCCTGCGTTCGCTTGCGAGAACGAGAGCAACTTTCCTCGTTCATCCTAGAGATGACAAGACGAGAGCGAATCCCCGAATTTGCATGAAAGTTGACTGATCTCCCTTTCTTGTGACCGACTCGCAAATTTCATTTCGAAAATGCATATCCTCGAATGATGAGGAAGAGTTCTGTTGAAACCCCAAGTTCATATCTCGAAGCATTTGGTTTGTGAAGATATCACACGCATACAAACACACAACTGTCGCTCGGCCTAGCTAGCGGTCATGTCGCGCAAGCTATATGTTTAACCTTCGAATCTCGGCTGCGAAGCAACCGAGGCACTCCGGTTGGAAATAGTAGTTTTAAATTAGATTCTAAAAATGTAATTTAAAAATCAAAGGGCAGGTTAGGCATGAAAAATGCTCACTGTTTTATGGAGGCATCATATTAGATGGGAAGTCTGAAAATGAAGTCAGGCCGAGATTAGTCGTGGAAATTCGTGATCTTTTACTCCTCATTGAAACACTCACAAAACGTCCACCTCCCATGTGGATCTGGAACTAAGTGAATATCCCCCATGACGTATTTCTGAGTAAATCCACATGACTCAAAATACATGTGCCCGAACGTCTAGGTTTATTTCCACAGGGAGGGGTGTCCACCTGCTTCCAAGTCCACCCCCTATACGCCTGGTTGTTCAGCCTGGTGCATGCAGTTGGATCTTTTTAAGTAAGACTATGAAGTTAGGCGTCTGAAGCAGTTATATGCAAGGACTCGGACGCATAGGAGTCTCTTACTTTCGCTCCGTTTTCTGGAGGAGGGATAGGGCGTATTTCAGGCACTGGATATCTTCGGAGTGTACGGATGTGTTGTTGGTGACTCTTCTCGTCATGAACGATATTGCTTAAGTTTGGCTCTGAAACCATTGCCAAGTCTAGATAGACGGATGTGTCGGAACGCTTGGGCAAGAGTAGGAATGTTGGTGTTCCATTGCATAATCCCATGGAGCATCAAACGGTCGAAGGGCACCAATAGGCCAACGAGGGATATGACTAGAGGCCGACAGATTTTTATTTCATTGTATTGTAATTGGATTGTATGCAACGATAGTGCACATCCGATGTCAATTAGGAGAGAAGACAGCTAGGACGAACGGTAGAGCACCAGTGTCAGATTTTCAGGCACTTTTATTTATTTATTTACAGGTTTACAGCCCCTAATAAACCCATATGAGCCCAAAAAATAAATCAAGCGAAATTTGACAAAAATAAGGTCGCTACAAGGTCGCTGAGGCGGAATATTAGGTCCGCGAAACGAGAAGGCAAGGAGCAAGTATGAATTTTCAGGATTATCTCAATGCCTTTTAACGATATGCCAGCAAGTCAAAGAGCTTCGAAACCACCTTGCCTTGTTTCATTTACCATCATTTAAACATCCAAAAGCGTTCATGTTCCTTTCGAGATACACCGAAGATATTAAGTACTTTTTCGAGGAATCTCTTTAGTTTCTTTCACAGGATTGCTTTCTCTTCATGGTGCGCATGATATGTTAACCCTCAACTTGTGTCCAAGTTGGAGAAATAAACTTGGGAGCCACTACCCAAGCGGCCAGTAAAATGTTAAAAGACTTCGACTCCAGCAGCCACTCTTGCTCTATTATTGTACTTGCACGAGATCTGGAAAACATTAAGATGTGTAAAATTTCCACAAAATAGGACAGCATAGTTGCTACTTGAGCTGCATGCAACATTCCTTGCACAATTCACATTCATTGCACAATCAATGGAATTTTATGTCGGGTATATCCGAACGTACGGATTCCCATTCGCCTTCTCCATTCGGCCTCCACTTCTCCGACGTTCAAGAAGCCTGCTTTCACGGACAAGCAAGAGAACAAGTATTGATGTCCCATTTCTTTTGGAAAGAATTGTAATTCTTCCTTAACATTTGCGAGCTCTTTCGAACCGTTAAGATCTCATGAAACGTCAAGGAAGGTCAAGCAGTTCCTTCTCGAGCAGTTCCTTATATTAATCGAGCTGAATATAAAGATGTTACATTCATCAGAAAGCTGTTCGAGTCGTGGAGTGAAAGATTTTCATTGAAATATTGGGCTTCTCAAAATTTTCTCTTTGCAGAACTCAACTGCAAAATCGTTTGGCTTTGTCAATAGTCACAATGGCATACCTGTCCGGAACTTCTCTGAGAAGACAATCAGAAATTCATGCCATTGCCATCGTTGTAGTCGAAATGAGGAAACAGTGCAGACCCTTCCAGACCAGAAACCCTTCCTTCGTCTGCAGTAACGGCAATAATTAACCAGTACCAAAGCAGTACCATGTAAATAATCATGTGGTGACCTTCTTCCCACTTCCTTTCTATTCACTGGACGTCACGAATTGTCACTCCACGCTGCTTTCCTAATGAAGTTCCTTTTTGAAGTTTGCAGCTTCTCTGACACAAACGCTCTCCAATCAGTTGAGATGATAGCGTTGCCGGTCGTTAACAAGAATGGCTTACAGTCGGTGTTCCAAGCTTTTTACCAACGTAATGAAAAGTATCTCTCAGGCTAAGAGAACTATTTCGAATGGGATCATACTGCAGTCTAACTTGTGCACCTAGATTTCACGTACGAAAGGCAGAAAAAGACCTGTTTGTTGAGTCGTCCTTTGTCACTCACAAAAATGCAGCGCTTTAAATTTCAGAAAGGGTAACTAACAGCGCAAATACCTTCCGTAAGTGGTTTGTCCAATTACATAAATACATACTACAATATTTTGCGACACAAGCCTCACCTTTCCGAAATAATTTCGTCTTTTCAGCAAAACCACAAAGGCTTTTGAGATTTTTTTTTATAGTACAGAAACGTGCATTGGCACTTTCTTGTATTTAGCGTAACGACATTGGCTGTGGATGTCATGGTGGGCACTGCAAACCTCTCATCCGGCGGAACTCTCATTCCAGCTGACAGTTGGAAGATTCATCCTGATTGGATTCCAGGTGAGAGAAGGCTATGTTCCATATTCCTTGATTAAATGGAGTGATAAAATGAATGCGTTGTTTACTTCTTAAATTTTATTTATTGATTGCTTCATCTACAACTTGTTAGCAATACATGCTCCTCTATAGACATTAAAACCTTTAGAATTTCGACACTCTAAAACGTATTACAGAATTTTTAGTCAATGAAGGGGGTCTGACTTTGATATTTGCGTTGGATGGGGATTGCCTCAAGTTATAGGTATTACTAGTAATGCCAGAATGGACAAAAATATAAGAAACTGTTTCCAACAATACACTTAATTGCCGTCATGTCAAATGTTTTAATGTGGGTTTGTGGCATTTGGTAAAAGATTGGCTAAGCTTTCAGATGATGTATCTACGCATAAAATATATTCAATTTTTTGTTCGTAATTCGGAATCTCATGAGAGCAAACAAAATCCTATTTATTTAGCAGAGGGGTCGAAAGCGGTTCCTTCGGGCCACATGCCGAAGCGTACGACAAAGCAGGTCTTATTTTTTGTTTATATGAGCTCATGAATTTATAAAACTTCTGAAGATGTGTGAAATGCTCGAATGAAAAAAAGAAGAAAAGAAACGTTTTCCCCCTCTATCAACCTGTCGGAAGACACATTGGGTAAAGATTATGCGTGAAAAGCAGTGAAATTTGGACGAACGAGCGGGAAACGTTTCGTATGGCAACGCTCAATGTTGAGAGTTTTGTTGTTTTGTAGTTGTTTGAGTCCCTTGAGTTTTCTCTTTCGGATGCAGCTGATATTTGACAGAGAGATTCATGGGTCTAACGCGTCCTCTTTCGGCACATAGCGCCATCTTGTGACATGGGAAAAAAAATTCATTGACTCATGAATCTCTTTGCCAAGTATCAGCTGAGTCTGACTTTCTCTTGAAAAGGTATAGCTAATCAAAACTGGGTGTTCACTTTCATGATAACTCTGTAAATGAGCAGTGCATTCAGTGCAGTGCAGAGTGATTATTCGTTTAAAGAAATGCTCATAGGACTTTTGGTTCGTAATTTCCAGGAGGCTTCTTCAAGGGAAATGACATCGCTCTCATTCATCTGTCCACCCCTTTGACCTTCAGCGACTCCATCCAGCCGATCTGCTATCCAGAATCAGACGACGTTCTGGGATCGGCTATTTCTGCATGCGACCGGAAATTCTACGGCTGGGGCTACAGATATCCAAATGTTTCATCTCCAATTGATATCTTGCAAAAACTGGATGTCTCTCTTACCGAGTCCACCACTGCTTGTACCGACATAACCGATGGTAGAGCTATATGCATCAAAGGAGATCCTCCGTCCAGTTCACTCTGCAACGTAAGAACCATGAAAAATCATATTATTATCCTGGCTGCCACTTGATATCGGGATTAAGTGGTATTCCTTTCGATGCGTCATGCCCCCATAACCTACCAAAACTATGTAAATGGACTTGTTTGCTGAAAGGTTGTCTTAACCCTTCATATATGGGATTCAAGCCCCAGGACGCTAGATATGCTCAAACCTGTCCTTTTCCTATGCCATACCCTGTGCTATAGTCCGACTTATTATTCACCTGGTCATTGAAACTTGAAGTTAGCTACTGTAAGCAAACAGTAAATAATGGGATACATGCTTCGCCAATGGGGTTTTAAGAATGTTATGGAACAGCTCAATAAGAAAAACTCTGTATATTGGTTCCCCAATGTCAAAGGGAAAATATACAAGATATCCCAACCAATTGTAACTTTGTATTTTTGCACCGATTATTATAACTTCTATAACTTTTGTAGAGTGTTTAGAGAGAATTTAGCTGACACCTCGTTGACTTCAAACAGGTGAAAAAGAAAGGAATCATGACAGTTTCCGTACTCTTTAAAAAAATATGGTAAGTTTCGAGAAAAAAAAAAACCTTGTACTGAAACCAATTAGTTGCGCATCTTTCCCATATCGGGAAGGCCTCGAATGGCCCTTGAAGGTCAAGACCAGATAAATCTGCGTATTCTGATATGGCCCATGATGAGACACGCGAAGAATGAAGTTTCGGTTTGACAAATGGCGTAGATTCGCGCCACCATGCATACGAAACGCGCTTTCAAACAACTTTGACGAACGATCATCGCCGATCGACCTGGGCATCTCCCATTGTGAAATTCTGCCTGCAACCTCATTTGTTGGCTCTTTCCAAAACGTATTCCATACCTCTTAACGCAGAGAGACGGTACACGGAATTTGCACACATTACCACACGCAATCAAGCGGCTGAAAAATAAGAGCAACAGTGCGGAAAATTGGTGTTTTCGAGGACTGCCGTAAGTTCACGAATTCATGACCGTTTATGCTTAAATAGGTGTCAGGAAATTATTTTGAAATGATCCAGAAGCTACATGTAAACAAGATCAGAATCGGTGCAGAAATAAGAAAGTTATTAAAAAAATCAAACCGCTATGATTCCCTGGGACACCCCGTACTACCATATAGTTCTAATTTCCGGCAGATTAAGCATTCCTGTTCAGCTCGGCAACTAAAGTCTTGAAAACTAAGTATGTGAAATATGCCGATGTCTCTTATTTCCTTGTCGGGGTCATTCTAAAACTTTGCTTGCGTCTGCCCTAATTATGGAAGAATATGGAAGAATAAGAAATCGAATGACCAAACCACCCATTTAGGAGGTGCCCATATCACCCAGAGTAGTTAAGTCCAAATTATTTGGCAATATGAAAGGAAGAACGCTTTATTAAAATCTATCACACTAGATACGGACTTTCTTCGAAATACAAATATGCCCAATGGAGCAGATGCTCGACGAAAAACTTACCTAAAATGCCCTGCATGCAAGTCTTCGCACTGCTTAAAGCCATTGAAGCACGAGCCAGTCGTTGCACAAATAAAAACCTGAGTCTTAAATTGTATGATGGCGAAAACGCATTTATATATTTATTACACCTTTTTTGACATTTTAATGAAATTTGAAGAACCTGTCTAAGGCAATTGCCCAGGTGGTATGAACAAATGCGGTATGTCCACCATTAATCCCAATTAGTTTCAATACGTTTGAAACAATATCTGATTAGTGCGTTCTTGGCATGGCATATTGTGGATATTTACCATCTCTTTCCTCTTCTCCTTTCACATATTGGCCTATATCATGTAGGGAGATGGTGGTGGACCAATGGTGGTACGATATGGCGATCGAGTTTTCGTGACTGCAATTCCTTCCTATAAGTGGCCAATGTCACCAAACGCAACGTGTGGATTTGATTTTGCTGTTAGCACCAGAACCTCAAAATTCTCCTCCTGGGTTGCTGGTATTATCAACGCCTGAATCTCCAACACGTCACCAGCAGTGAATTTTGACATTCCAAGTGTCTAAGGAGGATGCCCTTGAGTCCATTGAATTCGGTTTGAGTGCCAAACATTAAACATTAAATTAGGCATCCTCCTCTGTGCTTCCCCTTGAATGGTCTCATTAAAAAAGGATCTTCTACATTGGGTTTCAAAGAATTAGCTGCAAAAATTCACTTTTAAATATAATACGAAATGGCTTTATTATTGTGGAAGTGGAAGGCAAGCTTCACATCAGGGGTTCACGTGGTGTTTTCTATGGCATTGCACTTTAAAACTAACGGTTATTTGTCATTTTCAAGACATTTTAAAGGGAAAGTTTCACCATATATTCGAAATCCTATTTCGCACATTGAAATAATCGCATAGGGTATCACATATGGGTTATTTTCGTGTTTGTACCACTGGAGAAGAAGAATCAAGATGATTGATGTCATGCGTCTGCCAATATCTCTCACTGATATACGAAAAAAGCCCAATAAGGCTTTCAAATACTCATCAATTTTTGTATGAATTTCATCAAGAATTTATTCAGGGTTACAACTCCATACTTCCCATAACTTTTTTCACGTTTTCATTTGTAAATGCTCCCAGGTAGCACCGACCATTGATTCAAGGTTGAAAAGGTGTGGATTGATTGTATCAATGGTGACGGTTTATTACGTCAATATTGATTCGACGACGGTAACCGTTTATACACCCACATTGAGCCAGCATTGATTCAGTGCTACTCTATTCATAATGGAAGTATCAAAATTCCACAATATTGATTCATCGGATTAATTTGCAGAACAGATTTCTCGTGTGTGAAGATTTTTACATGTGTACTCCTTATGAATTTGCCAAATGCTTAACCATTATGCCAGAATACATTTCCATCAATAAATACGTTCGATTTGGCGCAGATAAGACAGTGGCTCAAATAGCGCTTAGTCCAACTTTCGCATCGAAACTAGAAAGGCAACTTGAATTATTATTTTTTAAATTTCCAAGTGTATCTGGCGAGGTGGAGCTGTCTTAAGACATCCGTAATATTGCGCAAAAATAGATTTGTCATATTTACTGTTTTTTTTTAAGCTAATAAATCAACTCAATGACATGTTGATTCCAAGGCATGTATCTTTCTGAAAACCATTAATGTTTCAGAATGACTTGGCTTTGACTAAAGACAAATGAAAAGGAGATCAGAAATAAATAGACAAACATTCATAGAATCCTGTCCACCACATTACAAAGGAAGGTAATGAGACACTGAGGAGTAAAAACCGTATATTCATTGGTTGGATACTTTATCGTATGACAATGGAATTATGCCCCATTTATAAATATCACCTTTCAGCAATGTAGAGGGATCTGAATACATTCACACATGGAACTTGTTTTCCGAATTTGCATTGTTGACTCTGACCAAGCCAGGGATTCATTTGCGCCTCCATAACCTGTTTTATTGCAAACTAAAGTAATAAAAAGAAATGTTCGTGAATTTGGAAATCAGATGACGGTTGGATGTGCTTCACTTTCAGATGCAAGCACTTCTTACTTCAATGATTTTGAAGTTCATACTTATCTGGGAATTTCCCTCAGTGGCTAAAACAATAAAATAAATGTTAACTTCAAATTTTCCGGACGCAAAAAGAACAAGCAGCCAGATCAGAATAGCGAACACTATTGAGTCAATTTGAGGGAGCTGGAATCCATCTAAGAAATTCCAGGGGCTCACGCCTGGTATGGCTGGAGGAGGTAACGGAGGCTGCGAACTCTCTTCCTCGAGCTACAGCAGGTGAAGCTGGGGATTTCATGGGAAATTTTTCATTTTAGATTTCATTCCACGCCGGCATCGCTCCTACTCTGAAGGGCCACGTATTGGCATTGATAATGGATTGATATGATGTGAATCGAACGATGTTGAGATGCAACTGATGAGCAGTTTATGGTTTAGATTATGAAGCAACGGTCATTCGATTGATATGCCTTTTATAGTATAGTATAGTATATGTTATAGTTCCCGTGATAATAAAACTGTTGGTAGTGTATGGCAAGATCTTCCTTGAGTTGAAATTTTTTTATTTCATAAAAGCTCTCTTTTGAACTACATAGCAGAATTTTTGCAGATCAATCTGCTGGAGAAGTTGATCAGAATATTGCTCTTTGTCTGATTGATACCAAATAATTACACAAGTGGCTCCCCTCTCACTGAAGACGATGTCGCGCCAAATAAAAAACACTCATCCTTAATGAATACGTAAGCGCTACTTATTTTAGTAAATATGGAAATGAAACAAATGGTACTACCCTCCATCCTGCCGATTCCCTTCTACTCCTTCCAAAACATAGATCACAATCTTGTTCTCCGTATGTTTCATTGGATCGGGAATAGGCTTTCTCATGGCTAAAAGCCAAAAATAGGTCAGCAGGTCAGCAATCCCGGTTGCCGATGGCGTTTCATACGAGAAGAAAAACACGAGAGCACAGAGCAAGGATCTTATGAGTCTCAGGATCCTCATTTGACCCCTGAGCCAAATTCTGTTCCCTTCAGATTTTAACCACGAGAAACGCTTAGAAATAAGGAGGAAATCTTGGAGCGAGGGTGTGCGGACTGTTCGAGTTCGAATAACCCCGTCCGTTTTCGTCGCGTTAGTCGTGATTCCCACTTCCCTAAGCCACTCGTATCACTATCTGGTCGTGACCTCTGTGATATGAAATAACGAGAAGGTCCAATGCATATGCCTCCTGTGCGCCTCATGTACATACATGAACTCATTCAGAACCCTAATCTCAGCACCTCAAGTTTAGTTGGATCGCCAGTTGGATCGTCGACAGGCAAGGACGGTTCCCCGATCATCCATTCTTGTTACTTCCTTAGATGTGAGAAAAAGGCAGCTGGGCTCAGATGCAAGCCTCCCGAATTCAGAACTTCCTCGATTTAAAAAGAATTCGATAAATGAGAATGAAACAAACCTGGAATTGTAAACGACCTCGCTTTTTTCTCAACCGCTTTCGGGATTTGATTCAATTAATCAATTATCACTTAATTGTATTTTCAAATGAGTAATGAGGTCGAGAATCTAGTGGTCAATGCGGTACATCTTACTGTCTTTTCATTCACGTATCAAAAGCTCTTGCCAATTGGAATGGCTGAGATATTCTTTGCTTTCATCGTTCTCATTGCATTATTATATCACGTTAGTATTTATTCCGCAAAATTGAAGTGCTAATCAATTTCATAGCATGCGAGTGTGAGCAATCAGTAGCGTACCAAGTACCGCTTAAGTCTTTCCTGGACGTGTTTTTTTTTATCAATCAGCATTTTTGAATTTGAAGTCATTCCCAATTTATCAGTAATGACTAGTAAATTCTGTCAACAATTCGAACTGTATCGCCGTTGATAAAATTATTGATATGGGGTACCATACACAACGAAAAATGTACAACCTTTGCTTCTGACTTGTGACCCTTCGACAAACTTTCTTGAGGGATAAGGGATCGGTACCATCATTTTCCACCTCAAATCTGTTCATTCCTTTTTTTTGTCTACCACGTTACAAAAAAATTTAACATGCAATCCTTCTCTGCGACACGACTAAATTCCTCATTCCCATGGTGATGCTTCTTGGAGAGAATCATATCTCAGACGGTCCCTGCTGTCCGAATAACGGAGTGTTGGGAAGGATATTATAAAAACGCTTTGAACGCTCTGAACGCATTCTTTCAACCTCTACTGAGGAGTGGAATGGATCCCCAGTGCTTATCATCGGCCCCACTAGATGGCATTCCTCAAGAGGATGAGCACCTCGTGCGCCTCTCCGCGCCTGTAAAAAATATAACCTGCCGTTGGTCTTGAATGTTTTTTCGTCTCCTTATCAAACACCGTCCTATTAATTCAATTACCCGGTGAGGGGTTTCTTGAGAAATTATATTTAGACTTAAAGGCTGGAAAATGACGGTGAACAGGGTCTCTACGCCGAATTCCTCGTCACTTACACTCGGAACGTTAGCAAATGGCTGTTTTTTCCTGATGTTCGTTCATGTATTTGTGGAAGTGCCCAACTCCAAGTTTTCTCTCGCTCGCAGGAAGTTTGAAACGTAGGGCACTGATGTTTTTCTAAATTTATCTTCCTGAACGTGACGGGAGACAATGATGAAGAGGATTTATTCTGTTTTGCCTTCGATTTTCGTTTGTTAAAAGCTCTCGAGAATCGGGATTGCTGACTTACTCTTTGCTTACCTCTTTCTCATAAAAAGCTCAGGTCATGAACGATGCAAATTAAAGAATCGGAAGAATCGAGGAAATTTTCTTTTTTACGACTGAAGAACCCGCAATCACTTTTTAAATTTGAGCCAGAAACCGATGGATATATTCCCAAGTAGCACCGGAACGCGTAATGGATGGATACCAATGGTTCCGTAGGCGAGATTGCGCCGTCCTCGTGTTCCCTGGTCGCAAATCCGACCTCTCATATTTTTCTATGAGATTAGTTGCATGGAAGATTTTTAGCTCACTCCGCACCAATTGAATTGAGAGCCTCCATAGACAAATTTAAAACTCCTCTCAATGATAGGCGAGAAAAAAAACAGGATCTCATTTACAGCGATATGAAATTCAGGTTCACTTTATTTCATCAACTAAAAAAGGATACCTGGGAGGGTTTTACTCGAAGATGAAATAGCCAAAGAAACACAAAGGCTTTTAGAACGAGAGCTGCCCAAATTTCGTTGGCGACCTACAGAATCGGATTGGGAAAATATCAATTTCGTTCGATCCCAGGGTGATATGGACCTTTTCACCTTAATTCTTATTATGTGAGGGTGAAGTTGTTTGCAAGTAGCTATCAACGTGCCCCTTATTACAACCGGCCACGCTAGGCAATACACCCAAACAGCATGTTTATGTTAATTTTACGTAAAATGAATGCAAAGTTTTTGTCCATTTTATATCATTTTTACGCAAACCATTGTCAAGAAAAAAACGTGATGTCATTTTCATGGCAATCGCAAGAAATTTACATTGTTTGCAAGAAATTGATATCGTGTTTACGTGAACATGCTGCTTGGGAGTAGATGCAATAAATATGAAATTAAAAAATTTGGAGCCGGACGTTACTAAGTATCAGAATACTGCTTGACCTCATCTCTTCCTGAGTTCTTCTAGTATTATTACTGTAGAACCTGATGATCCAAGCCTCTCCTACTGTGGAGAAAGAAGAAATCCAGGTACCCCAAGGAATTTCAATGCGAGGGAATGAAAATTTTGGTCCCAGAGAGACTCAGGAACCCGAAGACCGATCAGTTACTTTCTCCGCATGAAGCCATTCCCGTGGGAAATTCCAGGGTCACCTTTTCAAGGCTGTCATTTAACCATCCTGGTGAACTTGATTTGTGAAACAGACTAGTGATTAATTGCTAGATATAAGTTTCTATCTCGTCACTTCGAATCATCAGTCCATCCTTTCCCAGGTAGGAAATGGAGAGAACTCGGACGTTTACAGAAACTTCGTACCGTACACGCACTTCCTTGGTGGCAATGTGCCAACACATGGAAGAGGGAGGCTAATACATATTTGCGGCTCGTCCCTGTCACCTTCATGCTAATACTAATCGGCCTTCAATTTAATAATCCTTACCTCAAAAAGGAATATAGATTCGGAATTGAATATAATGTAAAATACCACATGTGAATAGTGAAAAATATATAAAAACCCATGCTCGGATTCTCAACTTGACGAGCACAGAAATGTGGAAGCGACTTCCACCCCCTCACGAGAGACATCTATTGCCGACTGAGCAAAGAGGCTGGAATCCAGCCTCATTGCCTCCAGTTTTGCTTGCTGGATTCCTGACGGGCGGGGGCGGTTTCCTAATCATCCGTTCGCATCACTACACTTGGATGAGAGCAAAATGGCAGCCGGGCTCCAAAACAAGCTTGCCGAATTCCAAAAACTTTCTCGATTTAAAAAGAATTATTTTAAAAGAGAATGTAACAAACCTGAGATTTTAAACAGTCTCGATATTTTCTCAGCCGCACTCGGGATTTGTTTCAACAAGTCATTGATCAGCTAATTACATTTTCAAATGAATAACTAGTGTGGGGATCTCGGTCGATATGGTATTAATACATCTTTCCATACTTTCGTTCTTTTCTCATGAGCTCTTGGCAATTTGATTTGTTGCGATGTTCTTTGCTCGTTCCCATTGTGAAGCTCAGCTCACGAGCGTGCAACGTAGAAAAATCGCAAAGAAAAGAGGAAAAAAAAGTTTTAGCGATTTGAGAAAGCTCACTCGCGAAAAGTTTCAGTCGGTATATCTCGTCTACGATGGCGACAGCATGATCGACCCATGCGAAACATCCTTGGAGTAAGAAGGAAAATCGAAGGTTTTACCTTCAACAGCACATGCAGAGTCCCCATACTCGTTATTATCATCCTAATGATTCATCTTCAACCTGTTCGAAAAGCTTCACCTTCATTATTGATGAGACAAGGCAGAACGCATTGCGTTGCTTTGCGCAGGTGAAGACCTCGCTTGTTTCTTGGGCATCCCAAGCGTCCCATTTACCAATCCTTTCCCAATGCAGATGTAGGAAGCACTCTCACGCCAACGATGATTCATTTGTTTGAAAGCACGCTTACACGATCAAACCAGGTATTAATGCCGAAGCTCCTGGAAATTAGTGACTCGTTCGCTCGGGACCTCGAACCGAATGAGTTTCGACCATAACTTGAAGCATCATCCCTTCAAGAAATCCACAGATTCGGTATTCCATCCGACTGAGGACACCCGATGCGAGAACATCAATGAATTCAATCCCAGGCGTCGATTCTCTCTTCGGAGAACGTGGAAAAGCGGGTGGATGATATTCCATCATCCTCATCAGAGATATATAGTTT